ACCCTCTTCCGACTATGCCCTGAAAATAAACTTTAAGTCTTAAAGGCAGGGACCATAATTGTATCGCCCCATGCCCAGTGCAGAGCCTGGGACAGGGAAGATATTTGGGAAGTGTTTGCTAAATGTCTTAACTGTACTCTACCTCTGCCCTTGTCATAGCCCCAGCACACTCCCAGCTGAAGGGATTCTGGAGTCCCTGTTTTCTGAGTTCCTGGCAGCTTCTCTGTGGTAACTGCTTTGAGCTGAACCCCACCTTGGCTCATGTAGTCATTCAGCACTCACTCCCTGAAATATGTAGGACCTAGAGATGGCCTTGCCCATGCCCTGGGTCTCAGGGCTGTCACAAAGGCTCCATCTCCTTTCCCACCTGATGCCACCTCTCCTCCAGGTCTAGGACCATCTCAGAACCCTGTCCCACAACCAGCAGTGAGAGGTCACAGTCCCTGCTGGACCTCCACTCACTCTGCATTGCTCTCTCCAAAGGCCTTTCCAAGGCCATCTGGTCAGGACACAGCTGGACAAGTAGGTGCTCAACGTGTATTTATTGAATGGCATAAATCCTCCCACTGCTAGGATGTCCACCAGTACCAAATGACACAGATCCCACATCCTCCAGCCTCAGCGGGTTCTGTTTTGTCCCTGTCTTCGTTTCCCCTGGTCCATCCAGTTGCCTACAGAGCTCTCTGCTGGCAGGTCCCCCTACACAGACCTGTGACTCCCAGATCTCTGCCCCACCTCTGCAGACCCCATCCCTGGGCTTCTGACACCTCTCTAGTCCTAATATCTCCATTCTCTACATCCTGCAGGAGTTCCAGGCCCTCAAATCCATCATGTTTGTTGGGCCCCATGGGCCAAACATCTTGTCAGCATCTCTCTGCATCCTGGAATCAGGACTCAACCCCTCACCTGCCTACTCCTTCCTACCTGTATGACTCTGCTCAACTGCTAGACCTGCTGGACCAAGTGTGGCTGCATTCACATCCTGAACTTGCTCTAAGGACAGACATGGCTAATCAATCACAGCACTAAGATCCAGTCTCAACACAATGTTTCAGGCAGCTACTGCCAATTAGTGAGTTGGTATAGGACGTGAAATCTATTTATGATACCACTCCTAGACCACAAATATGACCTCAGTTCTTGAGATATGCTTCCTGACAAAGCCTGTTTGCCTGACTCTGTGACCTGCCCACCACTCTGTTTTGTATGATTCTTACAACTGCACTGTCAGTGCCTCTAAAGACTCTCAGCTTAGCCTAGCCCCCAAGCCTGTATTCCTTTTAGCCACTGTCCACTATGTCAAATGATGCTTTGTGGGTTCCAGAGAGTTTACCCATCCCAGAGCTCACCGCCCCTCCATCAGGGAGTTCCCATCAGAAATGTCAACGCATGGGATGGCAAGTCAGGGGAAGGCCACTATCCTAACAGTGGATAATCCCAACTGCAGGAAGTTGGCAAAGAGAAGAGGAACTCACTTGGACCTCAACATGATTTTTAAATAAGCCAAAATGGGTGATGGAGAGTCAACAATTACCTGTGCCTCAACCACAGCAGCTGCAAGGGCCTAGCACTCTCATAATCCCATAGTCTCTTGCACCAAACAAAGCTTTCAGTCCACCATTGCTAGACTAGCATCCCCTGCCTAGTACCCTTCCCGCACTGTTACCCTAGTTGAGCCCTGTCCAGTCTCTCAGCTCCATCTCCTGATCACATCACGCCACCCAGACTCACAAGTCTCCTCCAAGTTTGTTGAAAGCGCAGGCCAGAGCCACCACTTGGTCAGTGGCTCGGCTGATGACAGGGACACAGAGCATGGCCTGCAGCTCGCAGCCCAACATGCTTTGCAGCTGTTGCACATCCTCCTGCAAAGGGGAAGTGAGTCAGGGTGCTTCCTTCTCCCAGCCCTCCGCCATACTATGTAATAGCCAATTCTAAAGGACCCATACAGACTGGGAGGTGCTATGATATGGCAGTGAGTTGGGAGAAAATCCCTGGGTCTTGACTCCCATATTCCTAGGCTTCCCTGTCCCACAAACCCTGGCCCTGGTGACTGGACAGTGGGCTCTCCCCTTGCCTCCTCCTCCCCTGGTCCAGCTAGGCCATGGCTTACAGAAGTGAGATCTTTCCGTTGGATAGACTTCTTGTCTTCCACCACTTGGCCCAGGCGTCCCATTGTCAACTGGGGAATGAGGAGAGACTGAGTCAGGGCCCAGTTCTCCCCAAGGTCAGGCAATCTCAGGCCCTGCCCCACCCTCAAGTCTGGAAGTTTCAAGGGCCTCTTCCAGTTAATCCAAATGGTGGGTGGAGTCAACACTGAAGGGGGATGGGGGGGAGGGGGTTCTGCTCCTGACCGGAATCCCCGATGGAGGACTTTAGTTCTTCCCTAACTAGGAGAAACAAACAGACTCCAAGGATTCTTGTTGATCTTAACAGATTCTAAGAGAGTCCAATCTAAAAATACTCCAATAGAAGTGAACTGGTCCCAAGTAAGCCTTTCTGTAGATCGTAGATTTCTTTCTCATAACATTCCCAAGTAGATCCCAAGATCCAGATAATTCCACCAGATTCCAAGAGATTCTAGCAGTTCCCAGTCCCTCTGGACAGATCCCAGGAGTGCCTAGCTTGCCTTAACTTCTCCTGCAGACTCCAACACAGGGGACTGACGCAGGACTCACCGGGAAGCTGATCTCCTCTTCTAGCACTTTATTTCCAATGACCTGAAGGGCAGAGCAGTGGGGACCCGTTAGAGGACGGGAAAGATTTTTCCCCT